AACATGAGACTTAATGGTGAAAGACTAAATTTTTTTTCTCCTGTAATCAAAAACAAGCAAGGAAGTCCATTCTCACCACTTTTTTTTTTTTTTTTTTTTTTCGAGACAGAGTCTCGCTCAGTCACCCAGGCTGGAGGGCAATGGCGTGGTCTCAGCTCACTGCCAGCTCTGCCTCCTGGGTTCATACCATTCTCCTGGTTCAGCCTCCCGAGAAGCTGGGACTACAGGTGCCCGCCACCGCATCCGGCTAATTTTTTGCATTTTTAGTAGAGACAGTGTTTCACCGTGTTAGCCAGGATGGTCTCGATCTCTTGACCTCGTGATCCACCCGCCTCAGCCTCCTAAAGTGCTGGGATTACAGGTGTGAGCCAACGTGCCCGGCCTCACCACTTCTATTCAGCATTGTACAGGAGATTCTAATCAGGGCAATTAGGAAATGGGTGGAGGGAGCAGGGACAAAATATATCCAGATTGGAAAAAAGAAGTAAAACTATTTCTATTCACAGATGACATGATCTCACAAATAGAAAATCCTAAGCAATCCATTAAAAATTATTAGAGCTAATAAATGAGTTCAGAAAAGTTGTGGGATACAAGATCAATATAGAAAAATCAATTATATTTCTATATACTGGCAATGAGCAATCCAAAAATAAAATCAAGACAACTATATTTTCAATAGCATCAAAAAAAATAAAAATAATTATAAATAAATTTAACAAAATATGTACAAGATGTGTACACCAAAAACTATAAAACATTGTTGAAAAAATAAAAGGTCTACATAAATAGAAAGATATGCCACAGTCATAGAAGACTTACTATTGCCAAGATGGCAATTCTTCCAAAATTAGTCTGTAGATTCAACTCAATCCCTACCAAAATCCCAGCTTGCTTTCTTATAGACATGGACAAGCTAGTCATGAAGTTCATATGGAAATGCAACGCACCCAGAATTGTCAAAACAATTTTGAAAAAAAAGTACAAAGTCAGAGGACGCATACCCCCAATTTCAAAACTTACTATATAAGCAGAGCAATCAAGATAGGGTGATATTACATAAGAACAGACATATAGATCAATGGAATCGAATTGATGTCCGGGAATAAACTCTTACATTTGTGGTCAATTGACTTTTGATAAGGTGTCAGGATAATCCAGTAAGGAAACAGTCTGTTCAACACATGGTGCTGGGACAACTGAATACCCACATGCAGAAAAATACATTTGAATCCCCTCCTTCAATCACACCCAAACATGAACTCAAAACGGATCATAGGCCTAACTGCAAGTGTTAAAACTATAAAATTCTTAGAGGAAAAATTAGAAATCTCTTAATGACATTGGATTAGGCAACGGTTTCTTAGATATAGCACAAAAGCATAAGTGACAAAATTAGATAAATTGAACTATTTCAAAATTTAAAACTTATGCTTCAAATAATATCATCAATAAAGTGAAAAGACAATCTATAGAATTAAAGAAACTATTTCTACATCGTATTATTTGATAAGACTGGTATTCCAAATATATAAAATAAAGAACTTCATATATCCCAAATATATAAAGAACTTCATATATTCCAAATATATAAATAACTCTTATAACCTGATAATCAAAAGCCAATTAACCCAATATTTTTAAGAGGCAAAGGATTTGAATAAATATTTTTCCAAAGACGACATGCAAATGACCAAAAAACCCATGAAAAGACGTTCACATCATTAGTCATCAGGGAAATGCAAGTTAAAACTACAGTGAAATACCACGTCACACCACTGGGATGGATAAAATTTAAAAAACAGATGATAAGCATTGGTGAGGATGTGGAGATGCTGGAAACCTCATAAATAGCTGGTTGGAATGTAAAATAATACAGCCACTTTGGAAAAATAGCATGGCAGTTCTTTAAAATGTTAAACATAGAGTTACCATATGACCCAGCAATTCTACTCCTAGGTATATACTCAAGAGAAAAAAAAAAAAGCTGGTACACAAACATCCATTGCAGCATTATTCATAGTAGCCCAAAGATGGAGACCACCCAAATGTCCCTCAACTGCACTGATAAATAAAATGAATCAAATCCAAAATACGGAATATTATTTGGCAATAAAAAAGAATGAGGTACTGATATATGCTACAACATGAATGAATGCTTAAAAAAACATTGCTAAGTGAAAGAAGCTGAGGACCGCATATTCTACAGTACCATTTACAAGAAAGTCCAGAACAGGCAAATCTATAGAGACAGAAAGTAGATTAGTTGTTACCCACGGCTTGGCAACTATTGGGTACAGGGTTTCTTTCTGGGATAATAAAAATGTTTTCAACATAAATTGTGTAGATAATTGCACAAATCTGTGAATATGCTAAAAACCATTGAATTGTACACTTTAAATGGGTGAATTTTAGTGTATAAAATTAAATCTCAATAAAAATGCTTAAAAAGTAAATGGACTTGGTATCTTTAAAATTAAAAAAAAAAAAAAAAAAAAAAAGCAAATAGGTCTTGGGGATCAGGCAGAGCTGGGTTTGATTACCAGCTTCCACACAACTAGCTATGTGGTCTTAAGCAAATTCCTGCACAACTCTGGGCATCAGTAAATGGTAGCTTTTTACCATTCAGCAGGAAGGAAAGTTAGGAGAGGTGGGGATATGCAGCATCAGGGTTACAGTGAAGGCAGAACCAAGGTGATCTTCTGGGGTGAAACAAGCACATCCAAGACCATCAGCTAGAATTTGATTCTGTAGTCCCTGTCTATTCCTCAGAAGAAGGTGCCTTTCCTAAATATTCCACATGCAATGGTGCCCCTGCAGCAATGCTATGTAGTGGGTATTGACTACAACTCTTCCTGCAGACAAGAGCAGCGTCCATCTGTATCTCCCACCTATGGCTGGATTTGGCAAGAACAGGATCATTTGCAATGTTGAAGAAACGGAGGGAACACAAGAAGGATCCTGACAATCAAATTCTAGGCCATTTTTATCTTACACTGCTCATCGGAGAAGGTCATCTCCCCCCACTGCCCATAAAGCATTAGCTGCTTTGAGCTTTGCGTTCTCAAAAGTGTAATGAAAATAGATGTTGAATGCTAAAACATAAACATATGCATCATTCATAATGCATTCAGATGTTTTTTAATTATTCATGGTTCCTGAAAGTTATTTGACCAATCATGCATATATACCCAAGCAATGTTTATATTAGAACCACAGCCTCAGTGTACGCAATTCCAGCTCCTTGGCATTCCCGTCTATGGAATTAAAATTAAATGAGTCAGTGGTCAATAAAAGTTACATGTGATTTCCATAAAATTATCCATTGTATACTGCTATGGGGTAGAGAAAGAAGTTTGCATGGCGTTGCTGAAGCTGACAGAACACAGAATGCTTGCTTTCTGATGAGGGTGGCAGTGATGACGAGTCTTTCCTAAGAATGAATTCATTATTTCCCTGAATAATTGGTGGTCTTGAACTTGGTCGTCGTCTAGGAAAAAAAATAACTCAGAGGGCCACCCTCTCTGTTCTGTTTAAGCTCTGTTTTCTTAAAAGAAAAAAAAAAGTGCCAGTATTTTGGGCTCGAAAACACCACATTCTTCTGTTTTGATGCTTGCATAAATTTGCATGTTAACATGAATGGTTCCAACTTAAAGAACGTGAAATGAAATGAAATTTGAATTCAAATCCAAGATGGAGAAAAGACACATCTAAAAGCAACAGATTTTCAATCTAGTGGATTTTTTTTTCAAGAACCAGATTAAGAAAGTCATAAACTCTTTCTCTCTCTCTCCCTGCCCTCCTCAACCACTGCTTTCAAAGACGGGTGGCACACAGAGACAGGTATCCCAAAGAGCATCCCCATGTCCCCTCAGCACACATACTCAGTATTTTTACGAACCACAGCACACATTCCGAAGCTCTGTTTTAATGACTACATGCCACCATGAAACTCAGAGACATGACTCAGAGGACACGGTCAAAATCACGTATCCACTTTTGGAGGCCCACCGAGATAAAATGAAATGTAAGGAACATTGTGTGAGTAGCTTGAGCAAATATAGGCATGAATTTGCCTCTGCAGGCCCTAAGAGCCATTTCTTGCTTCATCCTTTGATTTTTCCCATTGCAGTTGAAGGCTGTATGTCATAGTGGTTAGGTGCACAGACTAATAGACCTGCCTTGGAATCCCAGATCCACCAATGATTTACTGGCTGTGTGACCTCTGGCAAATGACTTAATCTGTGGACATAACTTTTTTCATGAGTCTTCATTTACATAGCAATAGTACCAGCCTCGCAGACTTATTGTGAGATAATGCAGCACATTTAGAACAGTGTCTAACATAGAGCAAGCATTCCATAAGGATTAGGCGTGGTGGCGGTTGCTATGGTGGGGTATTAAATGTTACTTTTTTTTTTTTTTTTAAATTCTTTTGAGACGGAGTCTCGCTCGGTCGCCCAGGCTGGAGTAAAGTGGCCGGATCTCAGCTCACTGCAAGCTCCGCCTCCCGGGTTCCCGCCATTCTCCTGCCTCAGCCTCCCGAGTAGCTGGGACTACAGGCGCCCACCACCTCGCCCGGCTAGTTTTTTGTATTTTGTTAGCCAGGATGGTCTCGATCTCCTGACCTCGTGATCCGCCCGTCTCGGCCTCCCAAAGTGCTGGGATTACAGGCTTGAGCCACCGCGCGCGGCCAAATGTTACTATTATTCAAACTTTAGATGATGGTAGGAACCAGGCCTGAACTGCTTCTCCTCCAACCTGCCCTCCCATTTTGACCAGACAGCACCACCCGGGAAAGAGCGATCAAGTCATCGCGAAAGCCCATTGCCAACGATCTCTGGCTGCAGGACAATGTGAGATGTCATGTTCTCATCCCATCCTGCCCCACATCAACCCTTTCTCAGGCCCAGTCTCCCTTCACTAAGGTGTGCCAAACAAAATGACAACAGGATCTCAACAAGTAAAGGGGACCGTGAGCAACGAGGGCAGCCTCGTACCTCGTGGCCAGACTCCGTAGTGTTTGTTTCCAATTTCTGGACAGCCGACTTGTTGCTCTCCTTTAGCATTTTCTCTCGAACTTTGGTTTCATACTCAGGCCTGGAATGTTCCTAAACCAAAGAGCAGAGAGTGGTTAGTAAACGAAAGGAAGAATGGCCTTGGCCTGTGGGTTATAACCAGACACATGTACATTAACATCAGCGTTTAGGATTGGACGCTATTGGATATGAACTGCCACACCAAACACAATCACAAGGCATCTAGACATCACAACCTAACATAAGAACACAACGTGAGGAAGAGACAAGGGACACACAATACTCGTTGTCACACTGAAAACCAAACCTGGGCACGTTCCTGGGGATAGCGCCGGTGTTGAGAAAAGAGAGAGGAAATGTTAACTAGATGGTTGATATGAAGAGAGGCCCAGTACTTTGCAGAGCCGTTTCACCAGAGGCAGAGGGATATCCCTGGTCATCCCACCAACTATTGTCAGACCTCAAACTTCTAACTTTCAACAAGCCAGTTCCCAGCTGGAGAAACAGATGTGCCCCACAGCTGGGAGTGAGGGCAACAACAAAACTCCTTCCCTGCTCCATTATTCTCTGAGCTAAAATGGCGACCAATAAACATCAAAGTCAAGGGTGGCCATAGGGAATCTTAAAATTCACTTGCCTGGACCTGTTTCCTGTACAGCCTGGGTGAGTAACCCATTGGCAAGTACAGCAATGCTCAAGAGACCTCACTGGGCCATTCAGCAACACAAACCTGAATCGTGAGTCACCAGGCATGGGAAAGAGCACCTAACTAATTCAGAGGACCATGGTCAAATCAGTGCAGATGCTGGGGCAGGAAGATGCATGACTCACTTCAAAGAAAATTTAACTGTGTACACCTGGCCTCATTGGCGGGTCTTCCTTACGGTTTCCAGCTCAAGAACAAGCATCTACAGGTGTGAGGACTTCATGTTCCTGCATCGTTTATCGATAACTCCTGGGCAGGGATTCAGGTACTGGCTCACAATGGGCTCTGCTATTCAGGGAACACACATGTCCTTATCCCTGTCCATATGTCAGAGATTCCAAAGGTCAACAGGCCAGGCTCTTGACCTCTCTCTGGCTTTCCTAAGACATACCACGATGCAGGAGAGGACAGACCATGTAAGTGACTAACAAGCATAACTAAAACAGCAGCAGGTGGTGCCATTCCATCGTCACCCATTCTCCAAGGGGACGTCAGTCCCACCCCTTCCAGGAGGCCTTCTCCAACTGTTGCAACATACCTACCAGGTGGGGTCTCCTCCCTCTCTGAATTCCTAGACTTTTATAGCTTATACCACACATTGCAGCTCTTCATTACGTATTTTTCTTTTACTGTTTCCTAGCTGTTTTGCATGTGAGAGGCTTCTTATCCTAACATAAAGATCAGCTACCTGCTCTGTATTATTCTGTGTTTTGCACAGTACTTGGCACCATGCAGAACACACAGAAATCTCTAAATGCTTGTAAAGTGCACTTGATTTTGTCTCTCACCTTTATCCGTTCTCCAACACAGCATTTCCTAATGTGTGTGCCAAGAGAATTTCAGCTAAAAAAGGACTCTAAGGTCTAAAACACTGGAAAACACTATAATGTATCGACTTTCTGAGAGTCACAATGAGCATATTAAAAACTCTGAAAAGTGCTACTGTCAAGACACTTGCTTAATTTTCCTAAGCCCATCATTTCCCACAGAGCAACTTTTGCCTGTAACAATTAATAACCTGCAGAAATACTTTGAGAACTATGGTTTGAGGTTGTCCCCCGTGGCCTCTGAAATTTGGTTGCTTTACTTCTACATTATTCCAATGGGAGATTTTAATTAAAAACTGTAGCAGTATATTTCAGTGAGTTCCAGAAGAACATGGGTTCTAAATTTCTTCAAGCCAGAGGAGCCTCTCCCCTTTCACACCCCGCACAGGGGCTAAGGGAGGCACCCCCAGCTGACCGGCAGGATGTTTCTGACTATCTCTGGCTTTCCAGAGCATGATGTGGCAGCACACAGAGGAGTTTGCTTGAATCCCTCTAGGTGTGGCTGTGGCTCACCTCCCCCTACACTGGGCCTCAGTTCAGAGCTGCCTCATTTTTTTTTTTTTTTTTTTTTGAGACAGAGTCTCCCTGTGCCGCCCAGGCTGGACTGCTGTGGCATGATCTCGGCTCACTGCAACCTCCACCTTCTGGGCTCAAGCGATTCTCCTGCCTCAGCCTCTGGAGTAGCTGGGACTGCAGGCACATGCCACCAGGCCCAGCTGATTTTTTTGTGTTTTTAGTAGAGACACGGTTTCATCATGTTGATCAGGCTGGTCTTGAACTCCTAACCTCAGGTGATCCGCCCACCTCAGCCTCCCAAAGTGCTGGGATTACAGGCATGAGGCACTCCACCTGACCATAATTCTCATCTTTTTAAAGCAAGCCTAGCTTCCTAAGCACTCAGACAGGAATCGGAAACTCAAGGAAGAGACAGGCTGCGCTGCACTCAGCTGAAGCAGGCCTGACAAGGACCTCCCTGTTTACAGCTAAGCAAGTAGGGTGAGGTTATAGAATCCCTCAAAAGCGGACAACTGAGCTCCTGGCCAGAGCAGAATCCAGCCCCTGGGAGGGCTGCTTTGACACACCCAGCCATGGACAGATCAGCCTTATTCCTGATGTTCCCTACACACAACAGCACTGGATGGGTAATCTGATGCCAAGTCATCACAGATCATCACCCCTCCCACTGAGACTCTGGGAACTATTTCCATTTGGTCAGTCTCCCCAGGAGCCAGCTGGGAGGAAGAACCCAAGCCTGCTCAGGACCACACTTGTCTTATCTAAAGAGGCAAGTCTAGAGATACATCCAACAAATGTCTTCAACCAAGAGTCATCAAGCACCCGCTATACTCTGAGCTGTTTCCAGGCACTGAGGCTATCCTGCCAGTCCTAGACACAAGATCCCTCCTTCCCTGGAACTTACCTCCAAGTAGAGGCAAGTTACAGTGAGTAAACCAGCACAGGAACGAGAAACTAGCAGATGAGGACAAGAACAGCAGAGGAAATAAAGCAGGATGGCTGCTTCAGATTGGGGAGCTGCGGGAGGCTAATCTGAAGATGGCAATGTTTTCACTGAGACACAAAAGCCGAGAAAAGACAAGCCTTGCAGAGTCTGGGGGAAAAGCATCTGTGCAACAGGAACAGCCAGGGCAAAGGCTAGAATGAGCTCGAGACAGAATGAAGGCCTAGGTAGCTGGAAGGTCTAAGCACGAAGGAGGACAGGAGCTGGGGCTAGAAAGGTAGGCAGAGGATTTGGTTTCCTATGAAACCAGAAAGAAGTCACTGAGGATATCTAAGCTTTGATGTGATACATGAGGGGTGGGAGAGAGATGGGTGGGCAGGATATCTGTGTTCGGATAAGGCCACACTCTAAGAGTTCCAGGGTATTCCTGATGTGACAGAAGGTAATGGGTAAGAGTGGCCCACTGAGTTGAAGATGATCCCATTTCAGAGTATAAAACTCTGGAGGTCTGGCAGATCTCCCTGCAACAAGGACAAACAGGATCACAGGAGTCCTTCAATAAGTCCCGTGGTGATGCCCACAGGGACACCCATAGGCAGACCTGCACCGGCCCAGGGGGTGGGCTCTTGGACTTGGTAGATGCCTTCCTTCCCCACCCTCATAAGAACGCAGTCTCCAGTCTTCTTCTGGCTTCTCTCTGGTTTCCAAGCTGGACTTAAGCCCTACTGCTTGTTCTACCCCTCCTGGGGTGACCCACCTGCTGGAGGCACCCAGGTGGGAGGACTAGAGGGTGCACAAGCTTTGGTGTATGTCAGCTGGCACCCTCCTTTCCCCTGGGAAGCAAGTGCTTCCTATTGGATACCACGGGGAAGAAAGATGTCTTAAGGTTATAGACAGCTAGACTCGCAAGTATTCCTGATACTGGGAGGGGTCTGGTTAAAATAGAAAAAAACTTTGGGTGGCATCACGAGGTCAGGAGATTGAGACCATCATGGCTAACATGGTGAAACCCCGTCCCTACTAAAAATACAAAAACAATTAGCCGGGTGTGGCGGCGGGCTCCTGTAGTCCCAGCCACTCAGGAGGCTGAGGCAGGAGAATAGCGTGAACCTGGGAGGCAGAGTTTGCAGTGAGCTGAGATCACGCCACTGCACTCGAGCCTGGATAACTGAGACTCCGTCTCAAAAAAAGAAAACAAAAAAAACTTCAAATCATGGCTTTCAAGGACCCCTGCCTCCCTCCCTCCAATGCCCAAGTAACATCTGCCTTCCACTCACTCCTCATTTTGAATGTGGTTTAAATGCTTCATATAAGTCCTAGGACCCTTGTTCAAGTCATTCGTACCTTGCTATCCTGACCTTCATGCCTTCCCATGGCCTGGGAGATACAGATTAGCAATCAGGACCCTCCCTGACCCGGTCACCAGACTATGCTTTTCCCTTGTCACCACTGCATACTGAGCCCTGTCCCCTGCAGCCAACTTGGCTTTCAAGATATCTTGTTGTTGCCTATCTACACCCCTCGCTTTCCCAGGTCAAGGCTTCTGCTGCTGTTTCTTTCTTGTGGGCGCCCCTTCTTCCCTTTGCTGTCCATTAAAAGCCAACCAGTCTTCAAAACCCTGATTTTTTAAGAATTTCCTCTCTACATTAGCCAGAGCAATTTCTCTCACACACTCTCCATTCTGTTCTAAATATTTATAGACCAAAGAGCACCCTGCTGAATGCAGCCCCTTGGAGATCAGACACTATGCCTGAGATAATTCCATATTCCATACAAAAACCTAGTATGTAGTAGATGCTTAATGGCCATGTTCGGAATTGAACTGAAATTGATGTGTGCTAATCCAAACTTGAAATGCATTAAAGGAAAAGTTGAGGCTGGCCTGTGCACATGCGGGGCACACCAATCACGCTACAGAACCAACCAGCCTTGCAGCAACCTCACACGGAGATCCCATCCGGATTGTCTCCTTAGGCCCCGGGTAAACCCAGTCTTGGCCAGGCCCCTCTCAGCCAGCACATGAGCTCCTCAAATCATGTACCTCCCAGGAAGTTACCATGGCTCATTGGGTTAAACACATGGAAACCTGGCTACAGAAAGAAAAATGGATGATAGTCTCACTCCTGCCAGGGGCTTGTTACAGAGATTTCAAGGGTATTGAGTTATAACTGAGGCTTTTCTGATGGAGAGAGTATGTTTACACTTGCCCTCTAACAGAGAGATGTGAGGGCTTCCTCTACTCTACTCGGCAGACACACTTAACTTGTCTCTGGGCCTACACAGGCTTGGATGCCGGGATGCATCTTCTTTTTTTGGAAACGTTCTATGGCATTAGGGGAGTAGGCACTATACCCTACCCATCTCCCCCAACCTCCGTCTCTCTCAGTCTCTCTCATGTATATGAGACATATTTCAGCTAAATCAAACAGGACCAATAATACAAAGATTTTCCCACTAGATCACCCACATTCAAACTTCTAGAGTTCTTTCTATTGGAAGGACCAGTTTGGGAATTTTCTTGCAAGAAATGCAACTGTCTTTACTATTCTCTGTTGCTTATCTTCCTAAATAATTTGACTCCTCACTGAAGGCAGAATGCATATGTATATTCTCTCTTTCACCACAGAGTTCATGATAGTATTAGTCTCAGGGTATATGCTCAATACTTAGGACTGGAGTAGAGTGGGTGCACGTACCCAATATATGGTAAGGCAATGGGGTGGAGTGGGATGGGGATGCAATTAAGTGAGAACCCATGGGAGGTAGAGAAAGGCTAGAGCATCACATCTCTCCTTCCAGCACTTTCAGGCAGCACACCCTGCACTGGTAGATTCCATTCCATGCAGCTGCCCCGCGGGTCCTGCCATTCTTCAGCCCACCTGCTCAAAGGCAAGTAGACTACCTAGAGCATTAAGGAGAAGAAATGGTGACATGCCACAGATGTGGGGACATACAGGCTTGGGAAGAGACTCAATTAGGGACTCCACTTCTCTCTCATAAAGTGTCAGGGCCACAAGGCCCCAGGTCCCTAGTCCAAGGCAATCACTGTAGGAGAGTAAGGAGCAGGCTTGTGTTCCATGCAGCCACGTTACTGCTGTGGCCTTACTGCTATGGCCAGCCCTTGCAAGTGGGTACTCAGGCAACTGCAAGTGCCTCCTGGCCCTCCTAGACACGGCCTTCAGCCCCTCACCCACGATATCCACACTAGTGAGAGTCCCTGCCTGATATCCCATCCGTGGTGGTACCTGGTATCAGGAGGCCTTGAAGATTTTAACGGTCAGAACAGAGGGGCTTGCTGAGCTTGGAAGTGAAAGAAGAGGGGAGGAGAGCTGAGTGGCAGTGGGGTTGCTTTGGGAGGAGCAGGAATTATGGTGGGAACAGATCATGGGAGCAAGCACAACACACCGCCCATCATCGGCTCACCAGCATCGAGACTCGGGGGCTAGTCCTCAGAAGAGCTATGAGGGAAGGCTGATTTATTTGCATTATTTAAAGATCATCTGTCCAGAACACGGCTCTAGAAGAACCTACCCTTTCCCTTAGCTCACGCCTCCGCAACTCCCCAGTTTCACACACAGTGCACGGGCTTATACCACAGAGGTTTAGTGGTTCTTTCTTCTTTCACAGACATCAAAGACAACCACCACCTGACACCCTGCCTCTCCTTGGGCCCTCAGGAGGTTCCCAGGGCATTCTGACACATCCCTGATTCTCCGGCTTTATGATTTCAAGATGACCTCTCGCCTCTTGTTTTCTTGCATCTTCTGCCACCTCTTCCCCGAGAGGAGGGCACTGGGACATCTGCCCAAACATCAGGCTCAATGCCCTCCAGCTCAAGGGAAGAGGGGGCACTTGGACTTTTGGCCTCAGTGCAGGTCAACCATGGCCCAGCCCATGGAACCAAGCTACACAGGCAGCCACTGTGAGACCCAGCCAGTGACAGCAAACATACACGGTTATCTCACTCAAGAGAGTCCATTTCCAAGGTCAAAACAAAGCAAAAGCCCACAGAAATATGTGAGAAGTATGTGAGAGAACTCACTTCTTCCTCTTCTATGCCAGTCAGGTCCCAAAAGTAGCCCAGTCGCATCTGCAGCCTCTTCCAGTTTTCCAGGAACATGGTAGCTTAAAAAGAACAACAATAAAAAAAAAACTCAATTATTTTTGAAGAGTGGATTCTGTACCCTTTGGGCTCACCAGTGGAGGTGGGGGATAAACTAATAGATTTTAAATTTAGGAGCTCTCTGGAATACATTTAGCCTCTTTTTCCCACTTCTAGTTGAAACTGCTAGAAATACTCCACATCCTTGAGAGTCAATAGATATGTTATACACACACACACACACACACACACACACACACACACACACGCTCCTTTCTCCACTTCTAAGTTATGAGAAGAGGGTAAACACTGATCCGGAGAAGTAAAGTAAGGATGGCAGGATGAAGAAAATAAAAAGAGAGGGGTCAGCAGGATTTTTTGACAAGTCTCATCTTGCCTATACAATACATTCTTTCTTCCTTCACCTTCCTCAGCACTCTCGCTTTTCCCCTACATTTCTGTCTTTCTGTCCCCAGCACCAGTTGCCTCATTTGGTCCCTAATCATATCATTCTGCGGTTACATAACAGTCTCCTAACAGTTCTGCCTGACTCCAGACTTTCAGCCTTCCAACCCATCCTGCATGTAACTGATAGAACAATCTCTGTAAAGTGGTATGCATTCATTCTTCCATTTGCTTAGCGAACAGTTGTAGAATGCCTGCCACACCTACACATCCATCAGTTTGCCTGCCCCACCCACGGCCCTTTGAAGGACCAGCATGCCTTTCTCAGCATGCTCTAGGAAGAACCTGATCCCCCCCACCAGCCCAACCCTACAGCTACAGTTTGTTATACCAGAGCTGAACACCTGATCCAGGGCCTGCTGATAGAGCAGGCAGATTCCCTCTTTTGAAAACTGAAACTAAAAGACACAAAGAGGAGCCGGGAAGGGAGAGACCGCGCAGCACCTGAAAGGAGGGAAGGCCTTAGTTTCCGACAGCATCTCCAGCTCCAGTTCCCAAGAGGCCCGGCTATATTTCATTTCCTATACCCAGGAGCTTGCCTCTTGTTTTCTTAAAATAAATCTCTTGTTATTTGAGGAAGTTTGAGTGAATTTCTAATCCTGCAAAAGCACCAGTCCCAACTAAGGTATCTGCAATGCACAAAACACCATTCTAGGCATTGTCGGGGAGATCGGGTGAACTTCATGTGGATTTTGCTTCTCAAGTTGTTTACAGTCTGTGAGAAGAGATTGTAAACAACTACAATACAAGGCATAAAGTGATCGAGGCCCTAAGAATGACACAGATGAAAACGCTGTGGGCTTGTGAAGAGAAGTGCTACCTGCCAGAGGAGGCATCCAAGCTGATTTTTGAAGGACAATGACATATAGGCACAGGAGTGGGCAGAGGAAGGGTGCCAACACTACCGGCCTACATGTTCAATGGCTCCTTACAGTCTAAGTTCTCTCTGGATTCCAGGACTATGTATGTCGAGGCTGAACCATCTATCTGAATCTCATCCTGCCATTTGTCAACATACATCTTGCAGCTGGGTCATCCCCTCACCATCTTCTCCATACTCGATTTGCGCCCATTGTCCCTCTCTCCTGTGCTATCCTCCAGCTTCTACCCTCATCCCATCCTGACCCAGCTCAAGTCCTCCTCTTCCATAAGATCAGTCCCCACGGCACCCTGTCTTCCTCACTCCTACTGCCCTATGTTCATGGCACCCTGGAGAGGGAGGGGACATGACATTCCCTGAGGCCACCCCTACAGATCCACCCCACCCCTAGCAGGAGCCTGAGCACACTTCACTACATGCCACGCCTGACTACTGGCTGGCACTTCATGTCTGTGATGTAATAACAGGACTGTAAACTCTTCCTGGCTCTTAGCTGCCTATGTCTACCTCAGTCACAGCTCAGAACTGAGAATATCAAACACTGATGCACTGGTTGAATACACAGTTACTTAAAGCTGCATTTGTTTTACTTGCATTTGGTGCATTTGTTTTACTTACATTTACTACATTATGGTGCATTGATTTGCATGTTTTCATCTGACATGATATTTTGCACGCACTGATTTGCAAGTTTTTCTCCCTTGGATTTGAGGCCTTTCTCGAGTGAGTGTATTCTGACCTCCCAACACTGGCTTTGGCCCGGAGATACTAAGAATGGTAGCAAGTCCCTCCTCTTCCTACTGCTCCTTCCTTGGTTCCTGAGGAGGGCTGTGCACACAGCAGTGCCCAGAGTGCTGACCGACTGGCGTCTCCATGAAGGGAGGAAGTCAGACGGCAGGACAGACGAGAGGGGCAAAAGAGTCATGGATAGATGAGTCATGAGGGCAAGGAAGGACCATCAAACTGATGGAGAGTGGCTCCCAGTTCTATGCCAGGCGCTATGCTACATGCTTTACATGCATACCTCATCCACCTCTCACAAGAACACTGTGGGGTAGCTATTATTTCACTCAACTTACAGATGAGGACAACGATGCCCAAAGATTAAGTAATCTGCCCAAGGTAACAGGGCACCTTGGTCAAGGGTATTGACTTTAGTGTCACAGAACTAGGTTCACATTTACCTGCTGTGGGATCCCTAGCTGGTAAGGAGCAGAACTGAGACACACATTAGGTCTGCCTAGGTCAGTGTCCTTAACCTCTATTCAGAAAATAGTTCTGAAACGCTGTCTCCTTCCTTCCCTTTTCAGCAGGACCTCACTCTCTTTCCCAATGTTCCCTAGAGTTTGAAGTCAGAGTCACAGGGGAGCTGGGTCTGAAGACTCCAACAGACTCGGGTCCTGCTGACTGGTATCCCCCAAGACCTCCTGACTCCACATCGCCCCTTCCACTGCCACCAGCAGCCCAAGTCTCTCTCTACATACAGCCATTTCTTCCCAGCCTTATTCCCGGCAGGCCTGGGCCCTGGCCCAGGCCCACCCAGCACAGCACCACTAATCATAATAATCAGGGTAATGAGAGGCATTACTATTATTTTTAATTGTAATTTGTAGACAATCTTGCCTAAGGGCTCTTGGCTGCTGTAACTGAATACACAATCACATAAAGCACAGCAAGGCTGTCAAAAAACAAAACCAAATCCTACCCTATGCCAGGAAGCTCTGGTGCAATCCCACCTCTGGGTACTTTCCCTGCGCTGTCATGTGAGAGGAAGGCAGTAGGTCCAGAGGTGGGGTAGGAAGACTGCGGATCTCAGAAGGGGTGGGAGATAGCTGTTCATTACAGCTATCGAGGGAAGAGAAGAGGCAGTTGTTGAAACTTGAAACTAGGAAGTACGATTGAACACCAAGTTTCTCTACAACAGGGCATTATGTGTCCCAAGAAAGTTCTTGAAGGATTATAGACCTGGAGTTATTAGGCTTCAGCTACTCAATGGTGGTAATATCAGCAAGACAAATTATGGGAATTAGAGTTGTAATATTTCAAAAAATGAATACGTATTCTGGGTTCCAAATCAGTTCAGGTGGGTCTTGGAGTAATTCCATGATACTCCTGTTTGATAAGGAGACACAGAGCTGCCAGTGACTTCCCAGGCAGCAAGCCCCAACTTCAGTGTGTTCTACTGACCCTGCCTGTGAACAGTCCCAGGACTCTATGGTCACAATTCCATTTCCTCCTGCTCCAACTCTCGATGGGCTGACACTGCCCGTGTGCTCCCGGGATGCAGCTGCTCTCCCTGATAATAGAGAATAGAGTGTGCCCTGGAAATTTTTCTTGGTGGCCTAGCAATACAGGAATCTTTCCAGTCAAGTTCTGTCTCCACCCAAGTGAAGGTCCACTGGGAATGGAGGAAGGTTGTGTTCTAGTTCTCCTAAGAACCACCGAGAATAGACCTCTCCCTCTCCTCCTTCTCCTCATACTCTCAGGGATGTGTGATTCAGGGCCCATCCTGGCATATCCTCCGGGCCCCATGGAGTCAGTGATAAACCAAGCAGCCTCTGCAGCAGGACTGTGGTCCTGCTGGTCTGTGACCAACGTGCAAACCAAGGGCCTGGACATTCGGTGATGAGTAAAGGAGCAGGTGGCTACTCAGATGAGCTGACACATGTTGACTTGGTCCCTTTTCTAACACTCATGGGTGTGTCTTCTTAGAAATGCTCAGTTACCATGGGGTGGTTATTCTATGTTATTCCAGTTTGTGAGAAGAGGAGTGTGTGTGTGTCTGTGTGTGTGTGTGTTTATAGTCAGATAGCTATGGCTCATAACAAGTTTATTACCCCCATACTCTGGGAGGAAGGGAGGAGGAGAAAAATGAAGGAATTATTTTTTCCTCCACAAATCCCTTTGGTGGGAATACTGAAAGCATTACTCTGGCGATAAATATTAAATTAAACAGTGCAGGGACAGTACAGTCTACACTCACGATGTCCTAACAATAGCACTGAACTGGAGTCAGGAAACCAAATCTCAGCCCACATTTACCATGAGCTAACTCTGTGACCACGGCAGTCACTCCACCATTCTAAGTATTGTGCTGCATGATATCTATACTCTCACCTAAGTCAGTGTACCTGGAGGAGTCTTACGGGTGTGCTAGGGGTTTTCGAAACAGGCATTGGTTCAAATTCTGAATAAATCACACATGGGACTAGTACAAGGTTAGCATGACGACATCTGAGAGAAAACATTTAAAGACATGAAGGATGTTCCTATTTCTGTTCACACATATGAGTAGTGAAGTGAAAGGTATTATCCTTAAAATACTTGGGATGGGAAGAAAAAATGTGAAAGTAAATAACCTGAAGGGGATGAGCTTTAGAGCTTGGTCACTCTACCCATTTAAAGGAACCGCCCATATAAGCAAGCCTGGTGATGGCCACATACCCCACAGAGCCATGAAGATGGAGAAGAAGACGGTGGCAGGGTTGTCAAACAGGTGGCTGGCCCGCGCGGTCCCACAGGCTGAGCTGAGGTTCCAGTAATCACAGGACTTGTCGCACAGGGGACACATGATGAAGGCATTCTGCTGGTCACACATCTCTCTGCTGCAATAGATGGAGGTTGTTGGGTCAGGTGGAGCTCAAGCATGGTCCGCTCCAAGAAAAAACCATCCCCCAAATAGCTTCCATTTCCAAATCTAAGGCTGAGTTTTTCAACTCCATAAGTAAGGAATGTTAAAGAAGTTAGCATTGGATCATTGGATTCTTCACCTGGAGAGTGTTACTCATATTTGGTTCAAAAACAACAACAAAAAGACGGGGTATAGAGCTCCCTGTCACTACAAGTGTCCTGGAAAGTTACTGAGATCTGTCAGAGATACTGGGCATTAAATTATGCCTCCTAAAGTCCCTTCAGAACGTGTTGGGTCCATGAGGTTGGTGGGATGGGATGCATCAACAGTTGTGAATAAATCACAGCCTAAAGATGGATTTCCTCATCCATTCTTCAGTCTAGGCTGTTTTTGTAAAGCCTACTGGCTGTCTCACAAACAAGTGATACTGGTCCCAAGTAGAAACAAACATGAGTGTGTGGCTAGACCTGTGCATGCTCTCACCTCTAGAAGAAGAAGTTCTACACAGGGAAGAATGGAGTAGATCTGGGTGGAAAGCCCTTTTCTAAGAGCATGAGCTGGAGAGGCACTTGTAGAATGGAGATTAATAGCCTCAACCTAATAAGAATTATTATACCCATGAAATAAGATTAGGGACAATGAAAGAGCAAGGCAAATTCTTCCAAGGTCTAGATTCTTTGATACTTGGAGCATGAACCAAATAATCTCTAATGGCCTGTATTCCAACCTATTCTTAGTGTATTTCCATTTAATGGACTGAGGAATATACTTGAAATTCCATTCACTCATTAGCTGACTAGCTGTATCCAACAGATTTAGGCTCATATGAATGCTTGGAAATAAGAACCAAAGAATCAGCCCTGACTGGCTTTCCCAATAACCCTCTACACCATACACTGATAGGAAAATGAATGAACTCATCCCTCTGTTGTGCAATATTTTCCCAGGGAGATGGGAGGATGGTTAAGCTCATGGTTCAGGGGGAAAGGGTGGAGAACTTAAGATTTCACGAAAGCAAAGCACTGGCTGTTCTTACAGGGCAACTGGAGACAATGATGGGGAGGCAGGGGATCCAGCACTGAGAACAACAGCTGTTTTCCACACAAAGCAGCAGCAGAGGGCGCTACAGAGCATGACTCACAAGTGGGAGCCACGGCTAGGGTGAGCAAGCTGGTGCCCTGTGTGCTAAAGCCAGTGCTCAGAGGAAACCTGCAAAGCCAAAGGAATGCCTGGGTCTATTTCCTCCTTCATTAAGAAGTTGAAGGGTGGCAGATTTACTGAGGGGCTGTCACTTTCTGTCAAGCCCCAGTCCCTAGGCTTCTGTTTTTAATGAGCTACTAAGTCCACAGGAGGGAAAGGCCTTCTGTGTGAGAGAATGGAAATTCTCGGTCTCTAAGGATAAACTCCAGTTCCTCTGCTGACTCGCTGCTAAGCTCTCCGTTGGCTAAGTTCAATAAAAATGACTCATCCACATCGAAAATATTAAATAGTAATATCTTAATAATACATTCAGCTGTGCTAGTTTCACCTGGGCATGTTCTGCTTGGTGACTAGAGAGCCCAGTTTATGTCTTCTGGGTCAGAGCTGTGTTTGCTATGTAGTTGAGAAGGAATTGTTGCTTTCAGAGAGGAAAGTACTCCCTTAAAAAACAGATTTACACAGAAAATCACTTGTCTGTATAAATTCTAGTAAAAGACTTTCACTTTTAAGTCACATCCAAGAACATATGAGTTCCTCAATGCTGCTCTTGGAGTATGTGTGTTAGGGACTTCATTTAACTCAGCGGTTTTTTTTCTTTTAAGCATAGACTGAGGAGACAGAAACCTCGTCAACTGAAACTAGTCAATGCTAAAAGGTCAGGAATGAAAAACGTATTAGCAGCCAAGCGGGTGCAAAGCACTTTGAAACTTAAGTGCTGTGTAAATTACTGGTTTTTAAATTAGAGTGCAGGCAACTATCCATCATTTGTACAAGATGGCAGCCACCATGGTATGGATTCTCCTCACATCATTTAAATGCGAAGTCAGAATGCTTTCTGTATGTATTGGAGGGTTTTTGATGTCATCAATTTTAACAGAATTCTAGAGGAATTCTGGCTAAGAATGACATCGAAACGACTTTGTGTTTTCTGAGACAGGCTGCCTCTAGACAAGCTGAAAGATGAGGAAGCCTGCCTACAATGGAAATCAGGTCTAGCGTACTCACTAAGCTGCACAATCCACAGGTTTCTAGTGAGAAGTAACTGTGGCTATAAATCCAATGCTGTATTCCTTTAATTTATTATTTTCTCTAGAAAGCATAAGCAGCTTGATAAACGGCTTGACAGTCCATTGAACCAAGACCCTAAAGTGAGCAACATTCTTCAGGGTAAATCACTGCTCCTGGATTAGGCGATTCAGAGCCCCGTTAGCGCAACGGGAGAAGGTACAAAGAGGCAATCATTCAGGAAATTCAGACTAAACAGCTGCTATTAAGGTCTCAGACCTAAAGTAACCAATCTTTTTTCAATATGGTTTAGATTAATCAGCTTTTTAAAAAATGTCCTAGTGTTCTCTGTTCATGTAAGTGCTTAACAAATGAAATCAATCCCTTGGTGAGTAGAGACAGGGAAGTTCTATAGAGGGATCATGCACGCACGGAAGTATTACTGACAAGCTTATGCTTGTATCTCACATATCAAAGTTAAATTACTGGGAATAAAAGGTATCATTTAAAGTTCCACCTAATCCATGTCAGTTTTCTGGTTTTGAGGTTGTGCCGTAGTTACATAAGATGAAACCATGGGAGGAAACTAGATGAAGGGCATGCTGGGCCCCTCTGTACTATCTTTGCAAGTTCCTGTGCTGTGAATCTAAAATTTTTCAAAATAAAAAGGTTTTAAAAAGTGAGCGATAGTAAATTTCAGGCTTGATGACGAAATTAGCAACCTCTAAAATAATCCCAGGAATACTGTAAGTTTTTCATCACAGTTATGCGTGGCTGATAGACACAAACCCTTACAGTATGTGTTTATTTAGATTCAATATTGGTTTTTAGAGAATATCCCTTTGTTTATAAGGAGTGGCATTTTGTGAGCTTCTATCAGACCCACAGAAGTTGGACTTCTGATGAATTTACAATTGTGTATAAAAAACAGTTCGTCTGTTTTTAAAGAAATCTATTAAAATGTTTACTTTTTTCTAGTATTTACACCTTCCTGATTTGCCAGGCCCCATCCTGAGTCTAAAGAAACAACATCCAAAACTTCAATTTTGTAGTAATTTTAATCTTTTTTTGACTATGACCTACAGTTAAAATGATTTGTTACATCAGATTTCAGTATGCAAATACATACCCTCACTCTCACAAACACACTTACAAAACTGAAATAAAATCTCATGAAGCAACACTTACCCATCCTTCTTATAATGAATACTAGTATTCATTGTGTTCTAGCCTATCTTACCCCATCTTATTTTCGTCCACTTAAAGGCCCATTAAATTGATTCCACAACCCACCAGTGGTGGTTGTCATATCCACAGTTGTAAAACACCGTCCATTCTGACAGGCAATGTGACACATCCACAGTAACGACTGCACTTTACACTTGAATATCCCTGCATGTGCATGAGTATGTGTGAATGTGGGTGTGTGTGTCTGTGTGTAGACATATGTGCACGTGCATGAGTGTGTGTGAATGTGTGGGGTGTGTTTCTGCGTGCAGACATCTATCAGCACATGCATGAGTGTGAACGTGGGTATGTGTCTGTGTGTAGACATCTATGTGCACGTGCATGAGTGTGTGTGAATGTGGGTGTGTGTATCTGTGTGTAGACATCTATCAGCACATTCATGAGTGTGTGAATGTGGGTGTGTGCATCTGTGTGCAGACATCCATCTGCACATGCATGAGTGTGTGTGAATGTGGGTATGTGTGTCTGTGTGTAGACATCTATCTGCATGTACATGAGTGTGTGTGAATGTGGGTGTGTGTGTGTCTGTGTGTAGACATTTATGTGCACGTGCATGAGTGTGTGTGAATGTGGGTGTGTGTATCTGTGTGTAGACATCTATCAGCACATTCATGAGTGTGTGTGAATGTGGGTGTGTGCATCTGTGTGCAGACATGAATCTGCACATGCATGAGTGTGTGTGAATGTGGGTGTGTGTGTCTGTGTGTAGACATCTATGTGCACGTGCATGAGTGTGTGTGAATGTGGGGTGTGTGCGTCTGTGTGTAGATGTCTATCATTGCAGCATGTGCAGACCATGTCCTTTCCAGCTGTAGTTGCTGCTGCCACATGTATTACCCAGGGCACAAGTTCTAAATCCTGATATAAACCAGCCCACTGGTGCCCCACCCACTGAACTGGAACCAGTTCCCTAGGCACGGTATGGGGTTTTCCACCCTTGGCCAACCTGAGGCCAGATGTCTAGGGATCACAACTGGCAAGAGAAACCCAAAAGCCATGTTTTCTTAGAACACACCCAGGCAAGCCCACGTGAAGCTACTGAGTTGTGGAGGAGGATATGAGCTCTCTGGAAAACTTCTCTGCTTATTAGAAAAAGCAAAGACTTTGGAACAGGAGGCAACAGAGTTCAACTCCCAGCCCTGACAACTATCAGTTGTTGATATTGGACAATTTATGTGACCTCATGTAGCATCAGTTTCTCAATCTCTGTTCAGTGGAAATAATAATGCTTATTTATGGCATATATAACATTGATCTCTTACAGGATCAAAGAAACTAGTTTATAACAATCACCTAGCATTATGCCCAGCACAAGGTAGGTATTTCATAAGTATTAGCTCTTCCCTCTAGATGCGCTGGGGAAAGCAGAGCCCTAATAACCCATCTCCTGTGATAAAGGTCCCAGAACTCCCAATCAAGAACACTTGCCCTCTGCCTCCCTCCCTCTCCCCCTTCCTTTTTTCCTTACCCCTGCAAAAAAAAAAAAAAAAAACTTGACAATTGATACTAGAGTTTTATACCAAAAAAATCCAAACTCTTGTCTCTAGATATTGACAACATAATCTTCAGTTGATTTGATTTGCAAGACCATTTGCATAGATTAACATAGATTTAGTTTTATTCTAGATATTGACATCATCTCCAGGTGATCTAATTTGCAAGACCATTTCTATAGGGTATGCACCAACAGGCAGGAAGCAGGTGAGCCATAAAGCAGGTTTCTGCCCACTGATGCACACATACCCTTCCTAAAATGCACATTTTTTACTTTTTCTTCAGAATGGCCATTACTTTCCCCATTACCACCCCCAACTCTAATGATCCGCCCAGTGTCCTCATCCACCTGGCTATGGAGGGAACATCAAGTTGGTACAAAGCTATCCTGCCCCCGAGCCACAGTGAACTGGTCCAGGGCCTCCACCTAAGTCAAACGGAGTCATAGTACTTTTTCACTTGAGATGAAACGAGTATAAAGTTCTAAGGTGTAACACCCATGAGCTACTAGCAGCAATGTTTAATCCAAATGGAGGAAATACGTGGTGAAACCAACAAATGCTAGAAAGAGTCAGAGGCAGGAGATAAATGGAGTACCTATTCCAGTGTTCCTTGAATGCTTATAATAAATTTTCTTTTTCGCTTAATCTAGTTCAAGCTGCATTTCTATCACTTATATCCCAAAGAAAACTAAAACATATTAACCATGCTTCAGTTTGCAAAGACAATTCTGAAGATGGCAAGAGGTTTAAATTCTAAATATTAGCTAAGTGTATCTTTTGTCCCTTGTACTCTACTTCCACACATTTTGATGTATTCAACAATTATTTATTAATTTTCTGCTATGTGCCAGACACAGTCTCCTTTAATCCTCACAGCACCATGATTTAGGTGTTGTGATTACCATTTTACAGCCAAGAATACTAAGCTTCAGGGAGTCAACTGTCCAGTCACACAGCTAATATATAACATTGTCAATCTAAGTGCTTCTTTCCTTTTTCTTTTTTTTTTTTTTTTTGGAGGTGTCTTGCTCTTTTGCCCAGGCTAGAGTGCAGTGGCGCAATCAGTCACAGCTCACTGCAAGCTCAAGCTCCTGGGTTCAAGCAGCTCTCCTGCCTCAGCCTCCCAATTAGCTGGGACTACAGGTGCATGCCACCAAATCAAGCCCAGCTAATTTTTTTTTTAGAGGTAGGGTCTCAACTCACTGTGTTGCCCAGGCTGGTCTCAAATTCCTGGGCTCCAACAGTACTCCCTCCTTGGTCTCCCAAAGCAGTGAGACTACAGGTGTGAGCCACGATACCCATCCCATATTTCCTTTGTGGGTTCTCTCTTCCTCATAAAAACTAGCTTTGATTCTATCTCTTGGCGCTTCAAGAGTTCCACCTTGGGCTATTCCTCCCCACAGTTTCTGACTTCCTGAAACAGAGACTGTGCCTTCCTCAGCATTAGAGCTGCCTGCTTTCTCAGCTTGCTTTATTCTAGCAGTGTCTGACCACACGGATGTAATTTCTACCCAGTGTCACTCCCCACACCTTGCCTTGGGTCTTATGGGAAACCAGAGGGGAAAAAAAGCGATGAAGTGGAGAGAGAGGAAAAAAGTATTTCTCTGACATAATTCTTCTTACCAGGAATTATCCCTCTGCCCACACCAGACACATACCCCTGCCCTAGAGAAGAGCTTGACTAGAAGAGGAAGTGGGCCTCGCCTAGCATGGCTCTGAAGCCATTCCCAGAATCTGTAGCTCCTAGATCTGTCTCTGGAGGGAAGCTACATGTGTCACAGCAAAGGAGAATGATAGAGGGCGAGGGCTTTGGAAAGAGGCATGTGAAATGTACTTGTACTGGGATGAAACTCCAAATTATTAACATATGGCAACTGAGCCTTTTTCTTTAAAACTGATTTACCTGGGAATATCTTCTTCAATTGTTGCACATCCATAAAGAAACACAATCACTCCAATTACAGAAGATGGAATGAGGAATGATGTATATAACCCCAGCCAGGCAAAATACAGTCCAATTTTTTCTCCAAAATACTTTCTGGAAAAGAAAGAAAGAAAAGAAAATGAAACACATATTAAGAACATCATATACTTTCCTTATTTCTGTTTGTTCTATGTGTCAGGATGGGGCAACATAGATATTCATTCCTCTTGTAATGAAAACAAAGGGATGGAGGTTGCACAGGGAAGGGGAGGCCTCAGCACAAGGAATCAACGACTGAACTTTTCTGGAATGAAGTGCATTCCATTGGAATCACATACACACACCTGTCTTGGCTGTTCATGTGAAATAGACAGCCGCGAGAAAGAATCCAGCCCCAACAGCAAACTAAAAATATGCCATACATTTTGGCACCTTTACCAAACATGAATAACGCATCATCATTTCATAAGTGCCATAGCACTCAACCCATAAGAAAACACACCTTTTTGAAACTAGCTTATTTAAACAAAACACACAGATCATATATTTGGGCATGTATACTTGCGTATGCAAACCAACATAGACACACTTATTGAAAAACAACTAGAAGAAATCCAATAAAATATTAGTAAAGGTTTCTTTGGATGATGGGCTTGTGGGTGGTTTTTATTTCTTTATTTTTAAGCCACTTTACTGAGGTATGTTGGCATACAAAGAGCTGTATGTGTTGAACATATACAACTTGATGAGTTTGCAGATAAGTATCCACCCATGAGAACATCACCAATCACTCCATAAAGTTGTCCAGTACCTCCAAGTTTCCTTTTGTTCTCACCCTTGTTTTGTTTAATTAAAAAAATATTTTCTCTTGTGTTAAGAGCAATTAATGTGAGATCTATCCTCTTAGCAGATTTTAAGTATACAATACAGTGTTGTTAACTATAGGCTCTATATTATACAGTAGATCTCTGAGCATATATGCATTGCATAACTGAAATTTTGTACCTTTTGACCAACATCTCCTCCTTCTCCCCTCTCTGCAGCCCCTGTTAACCACTATTCTACTCTTTGGATCCATGAGTTTGACAGTTTTAGATTCGTCGTACAGGTGGGATCATGCAGTATTTGTCCTTCTGTGCCTGGCTTATTTCACTTAGCATAACGTCCTCCAGGTCCATCCATGTTGCAGCAAACGGCAGGATTTCCTTATTTTTAAGGCTGAATAATATCCATTGGGTGTCCACATTTTCTTTATCCATGCATCTGTCAGTGGACACTTGGGTTGCTTATACCTTTTGGCAATTGCGAATAATGCTGCTATGAATATAGGAGTGCAGATATCTCCTCAGGATGTTGACTCTGATTCCTTAAGATATACATCCAAAAGGGGAATTGTTGATTCAAATGGTAATTATATTTTTAATTTTTTGAGGAACCTCCATACTGTTTTCCACCGTGGCTGCGTTGCCACCAACAGTGAACAAGGGTTCCCTTTTCTCCACATCTGCACCAACACATTTTATCTTTTGTTGTTGGACAATAGCATTTTAATAAGTGTGCAGTGATATCTCACTGTGGTTTTGATTTGCATTTCCCTGATGAATCATGACATTAAACACTTTCTCCTATACCTGTTGGTCATTTGTATATCTTCTTTGGTGTAATGTCTACTTAGGTCCTTTACTAAATTTTTTATCAGCCTATTTGGTTTTTTATGTGTTTCTTTGTTTTGCTATTGAATTGTAGAAGTTCCTTATATATTTTGGATATTAATCCCTTACCAGATATATGATTTGCAAATATTTCCTCCCATTCTGCATATTGACTTTCACTCTGTTGATTGTTTCCTTTGCTGTGTAGAAGCATTTTAGTTTGATATATTCCCATTTGTCTATTTTTGCTTTTGTTGTTTGTGCTTTCTGTGCCATATCTAAGAAATAATTGCTAAGTTCAATGTGTAGAAGCTTTTTTCCCTGTTTTAAGAGTTCTGTTGTTTCAGGTTTTACATTTAAGTCTTTAATCCATTTTAAGTTGGGTTTTTGTATGGTATAAAATAAGGGTCCAACTTCATTCTTACGCATGTGGATATCCAGTTTTCCCAATATCATTTATTGAAAAGTAAGTAGTATTAACAGTTTAACAATACTGATTCTTCAGATCTATGAACACAAGGTATACTTTGTAAACCAAAACTTATTCTGAGACAGGTCTCCATCAATTTAGAAGTTTATTTTGCTAAGGTTAAGGACATGCCTGGAAGAAAAAAACACACAGTCGCAGAAACAGTCTGTGGTCTGTGCCTTTCTCCAAAGGTGAATTTAAGGGTTTCAGTATTTATCAGTGCCTTTCTTCAAAGATGAATTTAAGGGCTTCAACATTTAAAAGGGAAATATTGGGCTAGTGGGCTGGAGGGGAAAGAGGGAGTATATGGTAGGGTCACCCACATGCTGCAGGAGAAAATGAGCGGGTACGAAAATAGTCAATTAAGTATTCATCTTGTGCTCTGCAAATTGGCACTTAATATAAGGTGAACATAGAGCAGCTGCCTGTGGAGATATTTAGCCTTTTATCCGTATCTGTCTGCATAGGAACAAAAGGGAGGGCAGCTTCTTGCATCATTCAGCTTTTGGCTTAATTTTTTCATTTTGGCAGAGTGAGTTGGGGTCCCAAGTTTTTATTTTCCTTTCACACCTTCCTTTTATTTATGTCATCTTTATTTCCTTTTATCAATGTTTTATAGTTTTCAATGTGCAAATCTTTCACCCTCTTGGTTAAACTTATTCCTAGGTATTTTATTCTTTTTGATGCTATTGTGAATGTGACTGTTTTCTTAATTTTCTTTTTAGATAGGTTGTTAGTGTACAGAAATGCAAATGATTTTTGTATGTTTATTTAGTATCCGGCAACTTTATTGAATGTATTATTTCTAAAACTTTTTTGGTAGAGTCTTCAGGGTTTTCTGCATATGAGATCATGTCATCTGGAAACTAAGGCAATTTTACTTCTTCCCTTCCAACTTGATGGCTTTTATTTCTTTTTCTTGCCTAATTGCTCTTGCTAGAAATACTATGTTGAATGTGAGAGGTAAAGAAAAAAAACTTTTTTTTACTATTGAATATGATGTTAGCTGTGAGATTTTCATGAATGGCTTTTATTTTGTTGATGTTAGTTCCTTCTATTCCTAATTCATTGACAGTTACGTTCCTTCTATTCCTAACTAGTTGAGATTTAAGTTCTTTCTATCTTTAATTTGTTGAGAATTTTAAATCGTGAAACAGTATTGATTTTTGTCACTTTTTTTCTCTATCTATTGAGATGTTCATGTGATTTTTATCTTCATTTATTGATTTGTATATGTTGAACCATCCCTGTATCCCAAGAAAAAAACCCTTCTGGGTCATGGTGTATGATCCTTTTAAAGTGCTGTTGAGTTTGATTTACTAGTATTTTGTTGAATATTTTTGCATCTACATTCATCAGGGGTGTGGACCTATAGTTCTTTTCTTGTAGTGTCTCTATCTGGATTTGGTATCAGGGTGGTGCTGGCCTCAGGAAGAATTTGTAAGTTTCTTCTCTTTTCTTGTTTTTTGGAAGACTTTAAGAAGTATTGATATTAACTTTTCTTCGAATGTTTGGAAGGATTCATCCATGAAACTATCTGTTTCTGGGCATTTCTTTGCTGGGAGTTCTGTTTTGTTTCATTTGTTTGTTTGTTTGTTTTCAATTATTGCTTGAATCTACTTATTTGTCATTGGTCTGTACAGGCTTTCTATTTCTCCTTGATTCAACCTTATTGGATTATATGTTTCTAAGCATTTATCCATTTATTCCAGATTGCCCAATTTGTTGCAGTATAATTGTTCATAATAATTCCTCATAATCCTTTTTATTTCTGTAACATCAGGTGTAAAGTCTCATCTTTCATTTCTGATTTTATTTATTTGCAACTTCTTTCCTTTTCATTAGGTAGTCTAAGAGTTTGTCAACAAACAGCTTCATCAATTTTTTGTTTTTCTGTTTTCATATTCTGTCTTATATTTATTTATTCCCTAATTTATATTACTTCTTCCCTCCTGCTAATTTTGGGATTAGTTTTTTCTTTTTTTTGTAGTTACTTGAGATGTAAAATTAATTATTTGAGGTCTTTCTTAATGTAGCCATTTATCACTATAAACTTCCTTTTAGTATTGCTTTTGCTGCATCTCGTAAGTTTTAATATGTGGTGCTTTCATTTTCATTTATCTTGAGATATTTTCTAATTTCTTTTTTTGATTTATTCTTTGACCTAGATATAGTACTCTTGGTTGGCAGGTTTTTAAAATTTCAGTACTTTGAATATATCATCCCACCCTCTCCTCACCTGCAAGGTTTCTGCTGAGAAGTCCACTAGTAGCCTTATAATGGTTCCCTCGTTTGTGATAAGTCACTTTTTTCTTGTTGCTTTCAAAATTCTCTACTTGATTTTTGAGAATTCAATTTTAAGGTGACTCAGTGTTAACCTCTTTGGGTTCAATGTATTTGGGTACATTGAGACCTCATGAATTTGGATGTTCATTTCTCTTCCTATATTTGTAAAGTTTTTAGCAAGAGTTCCCTTAATAAGCTTTCTTCCTCTTTCTCTTTCTTTCTTCTCCTTCTGAGTCTCCCAGAATGCATATATTGGTTCACTCTATGGTGTCCCATAAGTCCTTAGGCTTTCTTCACTTTTTAACTTTTCTATTTTTTCTGTTCCTCCAATTGGATAATTTCAAGTGACTTGTCTTTAAGTACAATGATTCTTTCTTCTGCTTGACCAAGTATGCTACTGAAGTTCTGTATTAATTTTTTTAGTTCAGTCATTGTATTCTTCAGTTCTAGGATTTCACTTTGGCTCTTTTTTATTATTTCTATGTTTGTTGAACTTCTGATTTTGTTCACATGTTATACTCCTAATTTTGTTTAGTTGTCTGTTCTCTTGCAGCTCATTTAAGACAATTATTTTCAGTTCTTTGTCAAGCAGATTATGGATATCAATTTATTTAGGGTAAGTTACTGGAACTTTTTTCAGCTCCTAATAAGGTAGTATCGAGTATTCCTGATTCTTTGTGATCCTTGTAGCCTTAGACTGGTGTCTG